CCACAATACCTATTGACTTAGAAAATTAACATGATTTATGTTTTATTAAATTTTTCTTTATTTTATTAAATATTTTCTAATTATGTTTTAGTCTGACTGGTTTCACTCAGAAGTGCTGTGGACTACACTCAGTCTGTGGGCCATGTGTTTTATCCCCATTATGTACATTTTTATGAGATAATGAGTGGCAAAAGTCATAGATTCTTGTCCCATCTTCTTGTGTTATTTCTTCCCCAAGAAAAGGAAAAGAGTATTTGTTTGAAGTCCTAGGTTCTTGTCCCAGTTCTACAGAGAGAGAGAGAGAGAGAGAGAGAGAGAGAGAGAGAGAGAGAGAGAGAGACAGAGAGAGAGACAGAGAGAGAGACAGAGAGAGAGAGAGAGAGAGAGAGAGAGAGAGAGAGAGAGAGAAAGAGAGAGAGAGAGAGAGAGAGAGGAAGGATAGATTTGTTCTCTGAACAAGTAACTGGACATCCCATACATAGCCTTGGTTTCTCTAGGGACTTGACTACCCTTTAGTCCTTCAAGGGCCCTTCAAACTTTGAAATTCTAACATGTACTTAAAGTATTTAGTTCTGCAGTGAATATGGCTGCTCTAACATTACATTTTAGTGGGCATGAACTCATCTTTGGTTCTGAGTTCAGCCCTAATAGTATTACACTTTTTCTAATAATGTGATAATGGACTAACATACAGGAAAAAAATAATTTCCATATAACTGGTATAGTTTTCTCATTCAATACCCTAGGGGGTCATTTTTGAAGAGCCAGCTCTTACTCACCTATCGTATTTCACTGAGTACCATCAGTGATGTACAATTTCCTGTGCATCAGAGTTCAATATCCTACTGGGTCATCATTCTGATTCAGTGCATGTTCTTCTTTCTATCAATACAACAATCACCATGTGCTCAGGGTCACTGTTCAAGGGGGAAAATAACATTATTTTTATCCAATAATTGTCAGATAAATGTATTAGCCATCTCCAGATAACAGATGATACCAATTAGTGGCTGTGTTGTCCTAGATCCTGGAAAAATCTCAATGGCTAAATTAGCACACAAAAAGAATAGGGATGTTATATGTGTTATAAATATATATATATATATATAGATATATATAGATATATAGATATATATATATAATCTATGTGAGTATGTATCTTTAATAATATATTGCCTTACACAATTTTTCCTTCTCAGAGTACTGCTGCATTTTACTTTGAAAGGAAGTAAGAGTTGCTGGAAAAGCCAAAAATTACTTCAGAATTATATATTTCAAAGTATCATTTTTAACTTCATTTATAGTAGTAGGCAAGGATCCTTTGAGAATAGGTGGGGGGAAGGAGGAAATTGAGTTTTCATATTAAATTTCAACATCCAAGATCACTCTTTTATGGATAATGGATTTCCATTATGGATGATTGAGTTCATACTTTATATAGCTTTCCCTTCCTTCTGAAATGGATCTAATATATTTATTTTTTTAACTATGACACCATATAGTTATCTTAGAAATTTTCCTACAGATCCATTTGGAACCATACTCCAAAAATTCTCCAATGTTCTTTGTGTTTCTTAATTTGTATGTGATTTGATCAAAGCTGGTTCTGTACTTCATTCATTCAATAAAATTTATTAAGTGCCTACTATGTGGTAGGTACCGGAGATAAAAAGCCAAGTGCTTGACCTAAAGGAGCTCACAGTCTACTGAGGGGAAGCAATGTGTACACAGTTGTGTCTACATTTTTATTTTTTTATAATTTTTATGATTTATTTTACTTTTAATTTATGGAATAAAACAAACATTTCCATAACACAGTATAATAAAAAAGATGATTGTACATAGAGTTGGAAATCTATTATGTACAATTTACAATTCCTTTCATATATGTAATAAAGTTATATAAATTTCTTTTTTTCTTTTTTTCTTTTTTCCCTCCCTCCCCATCCCCTACCAATTAGACACAAATAGATACATATGTAAAATTATTCTATATATACTTCTACTTATCAGTTCTTTCTCTGGATGCAGATGGCATCTTTCATCATAAGTCCTTTATTGTTAATTTCAGTATTAGCACAAAGTAAACTCATAGCCATTTCAGAGACAAGAGAGTATATCAACTGAGGAGTGTCAGGAAAAGTATCACGAAAGAGGTACTTCTTATGCAGAGGTTTGAAGGAAGATAAAATTCTGAGAAGGGGGAGTCATGGTTGGTAAAAAGAGAACACATTCCAGAAGTAGGGGACAATTTATGCAAAGGAATGGAGGCAGAAGATGAGTACCATGTAAAGGAAAGAAGTACAGCGGGCTAGCTAGAATATGGTGAGAGAAAGAATTCAGACTTTTATCTTAAAGGAAAAAAGAACTCCTGTAAACTTCTGAAGATTAATTATGGAATGTGTGTATGTGGTGGGGGGGAAGGGTTGTTTAATTCAATCAGGCAATTGATTGAATTAAAGCAGATTTTTTATAAAGCAGATAAAATCTTAAAGTCTAAGGAGACATTCGGAGGTTAGTTTGTCCAACAGAAATCTCCACCACAATATCCTTAACAAGGACACTTCACTATCTCCCAAAGAATTTCACTCTGTTTCTGGACAATTCTATTTGTTTAAAAATCTTTATATTGAATAAATATCTTCCATCTACTAGTCTTTCATCTTCTAGATCTATATAGAATTAGTCCATTCTTTCTTGTACAATATTCAAAGAGAACTTTCAGATCCTATTTACCTCCCATCATGTTCCTCCAAGTCTTCTCTAGGCTACAATTACCTTGAGGGCCTTGGTTTGTAGGGGCAATGGTAATGAAGAATCACACTGTTCTCTCCAGGAAGCTGACTGAAGGTTTGCTATCAAAGAAACCAGTGACGTTTACTGCTTCAACTTCTTACATAATTTCTCACATAAAAATTTACACCTAAGGGTTCAAAAAACAAACAAACAACACTTCCACATGAAACCGTCATTTTTACATATTCTAGCCATTTTCCTTTGTCTCTCAGAAGTCATGAAATCCTCTCATAAATCTTCATTATGCCAAAATTATCTCACTGAAAATCACACAGCATTTTTCCTTATATCTTAAAAGTGACAGATAAACATTCAAAGACCAATGTACAGCATAATTGCTAAAGTGAGAGATATGCTAGAAAAAGTACTGGATTTAGAGTCAAAAGACCTGGACTTGAACTCCGAAACTGTCATCCATTAATGGTGGGATTATGGGCAAAGCACTTAAATTCTCCCTTCCCTTTTCATCTCATCTCTAAGATGAGAATTTTATCACTTTCAGAAGGCATCTTATAAGGTTATTGTGAAGGAAGGGCTTTGTAATCTTTAAGATGATATGTAAACGTGAGTTACTATTGCAGCTTAATTTACTTATTATATTGTTCCCCTCCTCCCCCCAAATTAAAATATTTTAAATAATTTTATTTTAAACACAGCATTTTAAATAATTTTAAATATTAAAATAAAATAATTTAAACATTTTAAATAAAATTTCAAATAATTTAAGTATTTTAAACAAAATTTTTTAAATAATTTTTTAAAAGTATTTAAAATAAGGTCTCAGAAAAGGAAATATGTAAGTGGAGGCAACTTAAGTTATTGGTTAATTGAGACAAGTTAAAGTTTAAGAAGATATGGGTTGAGTTTATAGTAACTGATTTTGCAAGAAGAAATGTAAGATAGATTTCTTCATAGTATGTTTTTCCACATGAACATTTCCTTATAGACATGAATGAACTTAAGGAGGGGATAGCCATGATAGGCTTCTGTTGAACTATATACTCTCAGTGTCCTTGTACGTTCAATGTCATCTAATTATTTTGCCTCCCCAAGCTTTACAGCTTGCAAAGCACACCCAAGAGGTATTTCATGCTAGGAAAATGAGAGATATTAGATATCACTAAATAGCATAGAAGCCTTAAAATATAATATCCAGAAATATGTCTTGTGGAGACTGGCTGTTCCTGCATGTCTCTTATTTATCTGTACTTATATCCTTTAGGATTTTTGTGCTTTTTTGGTTTAGTTTTATTGCACAGCAAAAGTTTCTGGTGGTTTATAGGACTTTTCAGACATCTCAATTCTATCTCACTTATTCATTTTTCGTTTAACAAATACTTGTTGAGGACTACGAGACACAGTACTATTGTAGGTCTTATATCCCTTGAGAAGTTTAAAGGGTAGGTATTATTTTATGTAGCATAATCCTTTCTGTTTAATCTTCTGTTTGTTCTAGAAGGTATATGCAACACATAGATGGAGCTCCATGAAGAAATACTTTATATTAATAGGAATATGAAGAAACACTTTGCTACCTAATATGAAAGGCAGATGTTTTAATGCATCCTGTTGGATATTTCAGAAATGGATGATTTGAGATTTTAGACTCAACTTTTTTTGAGGGGTCGTAAGTTGGCATTTTTATTTAAATTGAAGAACAGGTTATGAAGGGGGTGGGGGGCACATTCATAACAGAGTCCAAGGTGGAACGAGAGGGAAGAAGGGAGGAGACAGGGAGACAGGGAGCCGAGAGCCTCTCCTCTGTGTCTGCTCTAGGTGGGGTTGATCCTGATTTCTGAGTCTTGGTCCAGGGCACACAGTGAAGCACACAATAAGATGGGGTTCCAGGGGCTACAGGTTTAGGAAACATCAAGGGGTGGCCCAAGTTACACATCCAATCAGAGATGGGGGCTGGGATTTTCCTTGGATCAACAGCACTGCTTCCTTTTAGGAACTGAAGCACAGTGATAAGTTCCATCCCACTTATTTCAGCTCTTATGAAACATTCTTTTTTTTTTAAATCTTCTTTCTTTTTTAATTTTTTTAGGCAATTTAGGTTAAGTGACTTGCTTAGGGTCACACAGCTAGTAAGTGTCAAGTGTTTGGTCTGAGGCTGGATTTCAACTCAGGTCCTCCTGACTTCAGGGCCGCCTAGCTGCCCCAAAACATTGTTGTAGTTAAAGTCTTTGTGCTAAAGAATTCTTTCATTGCTTCTCTGACTTCTTGTATTTTGCTTCTACTTTCTTCGAATATGCATCCAACTTGCAAACTGCCTGCGCAGCAGCTGCTACTTGCTCCTCAGTTAAAGTGATCTGATCCAGATGAGGCGGAAGCGCTGCAGATTTCTGGTTTAAGGCCTTTAGGTTTCTACTCATGTTTTCTGTGATGTCTTTCATTTCTAGATACTTCAGGTGAGTCAGTTTGTTCATATTTTCCAGAAGTTTATAGTCTTCACCTGTTAGGTACATGGCCATTTTGGAGACCATGTCCTGGCACAGCCCCATGATGCCTGCCTTGGTGGGTTCCATAGCCTCAGCAGCCGTCTCTACCATAGCATCATCTAAGCTGGGGAAATGAAGAAGGAGAAAGGAGGGAGGGAAGGATGGGAATGGGGGAGGAGAGAAGAAAAGGGAAGGGATAGGAGGGGAGGGGAGAGCTGGGGATTGGGGGAGAGGCTAGACTCAACTTTTCTGGAAAATAATTTATTATCTCCATCCTCCCACAATCCATCTTACTTCCAAACTTCTCATTTTTGTTAAGGGCACCACCTTTGTCCCACTCTCCCAAGTTTTTAATTTATTCTTATTTACTCTCCCTCACTAGGTGAGCAAGCCAACATAGCTGAAGCAGTGGGACACACTGAGAAAGAAAGGAAAAAGTATGTGCCAAGCAGGTCAAATTACCACCACCACCTTGAACACCATCTCCCCTTAGACCCAGGTATGGATAGACCAGGGGTGGGGAACCTGCAGCCTCAAGGCCACATGTGGCCTTCTAGGTCCTTAGGTGTGGCCTTTGACTGAGTCTAAGTTTTACAGAACAAATCCTTTTATTAGAGGGATTTGTTCTGTGAAGTTTGAATTCAGTCAAAGGGCTGCCCTTGAGGACCTAGGGAGATGCACATGGCCTTGAGGCCATAGCTTCCCCACCCCTGGAATAGACCATGACTCTTAGCTCAAGAGCCTTGGGAATGGCAGTCTCACAAACAACCAGACCTGCTTCTAGCCCAGTTCCCACAACCATGATTAAAGGGAGAATTCATTGTAGAAAAGGCCTTTATCTTCCTCATCACCACCAGAAACAAGTGCTGACCAGTAGGAAAATTACTGCAAAAGCCTTTGAAATGGTAGCACTCCCTCCTCTACCTGTTCTGCTTCCAGCCTTGCCCTCATACACAGTCATCATCTAGGGATGCAAATCCTGTGGAGAAAGGTCTAGCCATCCTTACTGTATTGAGGACTATCCCCAACATGTAGCACGAGGGCATCTATTTTTTGGCTCAAAAGGGAGGCAAAATAATCCCATTTAGACTCTTCCCTCCACCCCCCACCCTTCTCTGAAGGATACTATAATTCTTTTTAGGAAGGGAAGCAGGAAGTTGGGGCCAGAATCTTGTCCTCTCCACTCTCCTTATAGAGAGATAATTGTATCTATCTGGCCTATATCTATCTGCTCCTTTAAATATTATTTGTCTAGGGAATGTGATTTTCAGACTTCTGATCACCACATCATTAATTACTGGGGGGGGGGGGGAACAGGACACCAAACTCTATATCTAAGGCTTGACTTCCCACCCGCTAAATACCAGTTCCACAATGAACACACACAGGAAATAGCCAAGAAATGCATTTATCCAAATCCATAGCAAAACACAGACATCAGAGAAAAGTATATATAGAAGAATATATACCAGACAATACAGAGTAAATGAACTCTCCTATCAAGAACAAGACAAATCAGCTCAATGAAAGAGACAGAGACAGGGAGAAAGAGACAGAGAGAGAGACAGAGACAAACAGACAGGCAGGCAGAGACAGAGAGACAGAGACACAGAAACAGAGACAAACAGAGAGACAGGCAGAGACACAGAGAGAGACAGAGAGAGTCCTAGATATCACCAAAGGGGAAATTCCCTGGATCTCTAGTATATCAAGATGGGAATAGGGACACAATGGAGATTGCCAGCTCCCCTGTCATGTCAGCTTCTTCCCTGAGCCTTTTTCTTCAGCAGCCTGAAATGGGACTGGCATCATCTCCCAAGCGTGAAGAGAATGAACTCTCTCCCACTCTCACAAGCTCTAACCTGCTCCTCCCACAGGTTCAGGGCACCGGTCTCCACCAGTAAGGAGATAGTCCCATACCAATGGGTTTTGGGATGTGTTACTTTACCAAGGGCCACTCACAGGGCGGGTAGCCAGTCTATGTGAAGCAGTGAGATAGGTCAAGTGAAAGGCAGGAGGCAACAACCACTACCACTTTGGCCACCATCTCTATCTAGACCCCGATAGAGACACTCAGCACTGTGAGCTCAAAAGCCATAATCCTGAGAATCAAAACTTGTAGAACTGCAGCCTGGCAACTGCTTCTGAAGGTGCTATAGACAATGCTACTGAATATCCAGAAGAGAAAGTTCTTGTCACCAAAGTCCTCACCACTTCCTTCCTCAATTGATTCAATACCTGACTCACAATCTTTTTCTTCTCTCCAACTCTTACCCCCATACTAGAGGGCTTCAACGTACATATGGACACACTCAAACACCTCAATTGCTCAATTCCTCAACCCACAGGAAGTTCACTTCCCATGACTTAACTCTTCTAAGCCACCTCAGCCATATACAAAGATGGTCATACCCTTGATCTTGCCATTATGAACAAATGTATTACCTCCATGTTCAAGAACTCTGTAAGGGGACTTCATAATAAAATAAAAAATAATAACAGCTAGTGTTTATATAATTCCTACTGTGTGTCAGGCACTGGACTAAGTTCTTTACAAATGTTAATTCATTTTATCCTCATAACAACCCAGGGGCTAGGTGTTATTATTATCTGCATTTTACAGTTGAAGAAACTGAGGCAAACAAAGGTTGCATGGCATGCCCAAGTTCATATGACTACCAAGTGTTTGAGTTAAGATATAAACTCAAGTATTATTACTCAAAGCCCAGAACTCTATCAAGTGCAACAGCTGCCTCATCTGTAGGCTCTCCAGCACTGCTTTGGCCTTCCCAAACCAAACCCTATTCTTTGTCCATGTGGTAACTTCCAATCAGTAGACCCCTCATTTCTCTCCTAGGCCATCACTTCCACATTAGCCGCTCTCTCTTTTCCTCATCTTAACACTCTAGTGAATTAGCTCAACTCTACACTATCTTCTTCTCTTAAGTCCCTGGCCCCCTTAATATACCACCAATTTTACATCTGCTGACATCACTCCTACTCATTTACTGCTAAATAAAGGTGAAGAAATCATGTAACTGTTCTAACTGGGTCTGCTACAAATTTGTCACACAACTTTAACTGAGCCCTACTACTGCTAGACAATTCTTCTATACTTCCCTTATCAGGCCATATTTCACTCTCCACATCAACTCTTCTAAACCTTTTAATCCCCCTTTAAATTTCCAATGGCCTCCTCTCCCCCCACTCTCTCAGCTGGGAATCTCCCTTCATATTTTATGCACACACACACACACACACACACACACACACAGTTTGAGGTCCTTTGCCAAGAGTTTCCTCTTGTACCCTCTTTTTCATGCCACTCAGATGTCTTCTATTCCATCTCCTCCTTCAATTCTGTCTCATGAAAAAAACAATCCTATTTCTTGCCCAGGCAAACCCCTCTACCTATACAAGTGACCCTATTCCATCTTGTCCCCTCTAGCAGACTACCCCTTCTGTCATCCTCAGTCTTTCACTTATTTTCAATCTCTTTCTGCCTACTTACTCTTCCTTCCCTACTTCTGACAAACATACCTTCCCATTCCCCCATCTTGATCCTTCTATCCCCACTATCATCCCATATTTCTTCTGCTTTTTGTGGCCAAATTTCTTGAGAAAGCCATCTACAATAGATGCTCCCGGTTCCTCTCCTCTCATTCTTTTCTTATCCTCCTATAATCTAGCTTCTGATGCCATCATTATAGGAGAACTGCTCTATCCAAAGTTTCTAATGATCTCTTAATTGCCAAACCCAAAGACCTTTTCTCAATCTTCATTCTTCTTGACCTTTGTGCAGCCTTTGACCCTGTCAATCACCATCTTGATACTTCATCTCTTTAGGTTTTCAGGGCACCACTCTCTCCTGGTTCTCTTCCTATCTATCTCACCACTCCTCAGTTTCATTTGCTGTATCTGTATCCTCATCCAGGACATCCAGGACATACTTGCTAACTGTGTTTTCTAAAACAGAGCCTTGTCCTGGGCCCTCTTCTCTTTTCCCTCTATACTTCTTCACTTGAAACTATCACCTCTCATGGACTTAATTATTGTCTCTATTCTGATGATTTTCAAATATGTCTTTCCCACCCTAACCTCTCTCCTGGACTCCAGTGTCATATCACAAAAATGCCTTTCAGAAATCTCCAACTGAATGTCTAGTATGTATCTTAAACTCAACATGTCCAAAACAGAACATAGCATCTTTCCCTTTCTTCATTCTCTCCCCACCCAATCTTTTGCCAAGGCCTGTTGATTTTACTTTTGCAATGAGTCTCAATAGGTCCATTTCTCTCCTTTGATAATACCATCATTCTGACATAGACCTTTATTACCTCATAACTTCACTATTGTAATAGCCTGCTGATTTGGTCTGGCTGCCACAAATCTCTCTCCACTCCAATATGTCCTATAGCTGCTACCACTACATTCCTAAAGCACAGGTCCAACCACATCATTCCCATACTCAATAAACTCTATTGTCTCCCTATCACCTTCACGATCAAAATTCTCTGTTTGACATTCAGATCCCTATATAATCTACATCTTGTACCTATCCTGCTCTACCACTTACTTTTCCACCCAGTGATAGTGTTCTCTTTATTTTTCCACAAACAAGACACCCCATCTCTCAGCTCTAGTAATTTTGGCTAGTTGTCATCCATGTATGGAATGCTCTTCCTCCTCATCTCTGTCTCTTTGCTTCCCTGGCTTCCTCCACGTCTCAGCTAAAATCCCATCTTCTACAAAAATACTTTCCCAATCCCTCTTAATTCTAATGCCTTCCTTCCATTACTTAAATTCCCCATTTATCTTATATATATTTATTTTTACATATTTTATTGTACATCCTTCTTTGCTCCCTCCGAGGTGATTATGAGCTCCTTGAGAGCAGAGACTGTCTTTTGTTTTTCTTTTTATCCTCAGAACTTAGCACAGTTATTAGGCATTTAATACTTATTGACTGACTAAGGAACATGATACCATTCAATCTGACTTGCTGCTGAAACCTCCTATATGTGTTGCTCTCCCTATTAGAATGTGAGTTCTTTGAGAGCAGACTCTCTTTTCTATTTACATATCCATTGCTTAGTATAGTATGTTGCACA